CTTAACTGCTGATATAATTGAGTTACAACATCAAGTATATAGTACTTTTGAGCAAAAATTAAAACAAATTAATGGAGATGAAATTTTAAAAGGCATATCTGAAGGAATTGCTCAGCTAAATCCAAAAGATAAAATTTATACTTTATTTGGAACTTCTGCCAGTTCTCTGTTCTTGTTCTGCCTAATTGGATTTGTGTTTTATTGGATCATAAAAAAACTTTTACAGGTAAAGAAAACAAGTGAGTGAAACACTGCTGTATTTTTGGCTATGACAGCTGTTCAAGCCAATAATTAAGAAGGGGGAAATGTAAGAGATAAGCTCCCCTTGCTCAGACATGGCAGTTCACCTCAATGTGCTCCCTCAGGAGATTGTTTCTGAGAAGCATTTCCTTGAGGATCTGAGCTTCTGCACTTGCCTATTGATGTGCAGGAATGTGCAGAGTGATTCTCCCTAGGAGGTGTGGAGAAACAGCCGAGGTGTTAGCTGGAGGATGGACAGACCGGTCTTCAAGCATTGGGTTCTATTCTCTGTCTTCCTCCTTCATTAGCATTATAATGTGTAACTTTACCTTGGGCAAGTGAGGACAACAGCCAGGCTCCAGAATGTTTTACTCTAAACAAAATCAATTGTATATGTGTTCCTCAGCCTTCACACTAAATTGTAATCTTAAATGGTAGCTTCCTAATGTTATTTACCTCTTTGTATATGTGTCAAATTCTTACTGAATGTTGGAAAGTATATAAGGTAATCAGTAAAGTTTGGCTGGGCCGCCGACCAGAGCGAGTCCCGGTCTCCCTTGAATATTCATTCCGTCTGCAGTTCTTTCCCCTGCGTCCCCGATCAGAATCTCCAAAGAACATAACACCGAGAGTCCTCAGATATTCTGTGGGTTTGCCCAATGGGTGTATCTTTGCCCCTTTCCTTACACTGGTGGTCTCCAGTGTGAGCAGACACCAAATACCTGTGGGTAGGGGTTGATCGACCCAGATGGCTGGGTCCTACTTGCAGAGTTTCTGATTCAGGAAATGGGGTGCATGAGTTTTGCATTCCAGCATGTTCCCAAGTGGGCTGCTCCTGCTGCTGGCAGGGGCCCCCCCACGTTAGGAGCCATGGCTTTCCACATGGCATGGCACAGGAAGGGCATGCACAGTCAATGACATGCACTCCCATCACATTCCATGAGAACTCCCTGCTGCACACTCGGCTTGAACAAGTCCTGATGTCCAGTGATGCGCGCAGCAGACAAACCTGTGAGCAGTGAGCATGCCTCATGTGATCTGACCTTTCATGTTTGCTGATATTAGGAGTGTGGCTGTTTTAAATGTATATTTTCTCCTGTTGTCTTTTTTTGGTGGCGGGGGGGGGGTTATAGGAAAATTGTTGTTTTGGCTATTTGTGGAAAATATCAAAGCAATTTAAGAATTGTTTGTTGGGAGCCCACTTGTGTCTAAGATTTCTGTGACTCTTCTTGGTTTATAAGGCACAAGTTTCTACATACATATTTATTAACAGTGAAAGCTTTCTTTCCAAATCTTTGGGATAATGCTGAAGAGTAATACCGCACAGTTTTTCCTTGTTCCTAGCTTTAATGGAAACAGCTCCAATATTTATACTCTATAAATATAAATTCTGTTATTTTATAATAGAATATAAATAATATACCATGTTTCCCCAAAAATAAGACACTGTCTTATATTTATTATTTTCTCAAGAAGACACACTAGGGCTTATTTTCAGGGGATGTCTTTCTCTCCCCACCGAAACGCATGGCATTGCTGTGCAGATATGCTGCATAGCCACACCCATCACTGGGTCTTATTATCGGGGTAGGGCTTATATTTAACAAATGCATAGAAATCCTGCTAGAGCTTATTTCTGGGAAATAATAATCCTGCTAGGTCTTATTTTCAGGAAAACATGGCATTTGTTATATCATATTATAGAATATATTAGAATATATAAATATGATATAAATATATTATGTTCTATGTGTATTACATTAAGAGCTGATTTCTGAAGTTACTTCAGTTCTCTCTTTACCAGGAATTATTTTTTAAAGTAAGAATATTTTGGGGCAGTGCTTGTGGCTCAGTGAGTAGAGCACCAGCCCCATGTACTGAGGGTGGTGGGTTCAAACCTGGTCCCCGCTAAACTGCAACAAAAAAATAGTCAGGCGTTGTGACCGGCATCTGTAGTCCCAGCTACTTAGGAGGCTGAGGCAAGAGAATCGGCTATGCCCAAGAGCTGGAGGTTGCTGTGAGCTGTGATGCCACAGCACTCTACCGAGAGCGACAAAATGAGACCCTGTCTCAAAAAAAAAAATTTAAAATATTTTATTCTGGGCAGTGCCTGTGGCTCAGTGGGTAGGGCACTGGTCCCATATACTGAGGGTGGCGAGTTCAAACCCAGCCCCAGCCAAACTGCAACAAAAAATAGCGGGGCATTGTGGTAGGCGCCTGTGGTCCCAGTTACTCAGGAGGCTGAGGCAAGAGAATCGCCTAAGCCCACGAGTTGGAGGTTGCTGTGAGCTGTGACGTCACAGCACTCTACCAAAGGCGATAAAGTGAGACTCTGTCTCTACAAAAAAAAAAAAAGAATATTTTCTTCTACTAAATGTTGTTTTAATATCTACCAAGTATATTGCATATTTTTCTTTTTTGATCTATCAATGTAATTAATTAAAATAATAGGTTCTCCAATATTGAGCCATTCTCTCATGTGGAATATGGTATGCTTGTGTGGGGGGGGCAGTTTTATAACTTTATTTGATCGGCAACTCTCATCCAGATTGTCTGTAGGTTTTTTAAAGTGCTTACAGGGTGCTTGCATAACCAACATATTGAGTTTGTTTGAGGAACCTTCATTTTTGGCGTGTTTTCTGGACACTTCCACATAAGTATGTCCTGGGCCACTCCTTGCCTTTCGGCCTGAACAGCTTCATTTGTTGTACACATCTTTGTTTCTGTTTCTTTCATAGCAAATTTCTGGATTTCTTTAAGTACCCAAGGGACACACTTCTTGAAGGCTGCTCCCTGGCTGTGCTCAGGAGTGTTGGTGAAGGTCCTGGCGCAGAGATGGGTGTTCAGTTATGACCCTTCTCATTCTCCTTTGCAGAAGTCAGTCTGCTGGGCCCAGGCTGGAAAGGAAGAATGTGGAGGGTTCTATATGCACTTGTTATTTAGAAGGCAGTGGGAGTTGAAGGACACTTTTTAATTTAGAAATTTTGCTTTTGTATGTATTAACTACTCTCATATTCTCCTGATTCCCAGAATCACTTGGAGCATGAGGTGAACACACACACACACAGGCACACACACCTCTCCCCACATGCACACATGCACACCCTTGCATGGATACACCCATGGATACATTCATGCACAAGTTCCACAGCCTTATCTCAAATCCGCTGATTCAAAATTTCCAAGTTAAAACACCCACACATTTTACATGCATGTGTCACCAGGAAAATCTGGGAAGCACTACATTAGGGACACTAATTAACTGTCTTTAATTTCCTAGTTTTTTGTTTACAACCTTTGCTCTCTATTTACTATGTAAGTTTGGGCTATAATTTATTTCTCAGTTACAGCTTGACTTTAGGATTTTGCCAGTGTGGTAAATGAGAATGAAGGATTGCCATTTTTTTTCTGTGTTGTGGGTCAGTATAAAGACCACGGGAGCTTTTAATTCCCAAAGTTTGGTATAATTTACTTAACAAAATCATCTCTATTCAGGACTTTTTATCACATGCGTCCAGTACTTATCAGGGACTAAACATCCTTCTGATTCCATCTACCTCTCAATTCCTGGCAGTGCCTCACTGTGTCTCTCTACCTACCTATCCATCCATTCACCACATATAGAATACCTTATTTGCCATCTCAATAATATTTTGAAAGAGACGGGGGGCTCTTTGGAACAAAAGATACACTAGCCTTAGACCTGTTGAATTGCTCTGCTTCTGACTTATTACTAGAACAAAGAGCTTTAGTTTCTATCTAATATAGAATTGCTTTATTTACATTGTAGGATCTGTTAAAAAGAATTGAAAATAAAGTCAAGTTTACATCTAATCTCATAATAAAATATTGTGATTGTTAACATTTGTTATCCACTTGTGGTTAGCAGGGCGCGGAGGCCCCAGGTAACTGCTGGTGGATGTGATGTCTGCAGACTCCAGCTCTGCAGACTCCTGGGATTGTCCCTTGAAGGTGGTGATCCATCTTCTAGTAGCAGGATAATTTTTTTTTTCTTTTCCTTTTGATACACTGATCTTTATTGTTGTCTTTTTCAGAAACAAAGTTGCAGCTTTTTGGTAGAAACGCTCCCCTGGAATGGTGAATTCAAGTTGATAAAGAAACAGTGTGAAGATATCTGATGGTGTTCTGGACCACCCCTCCAACCTCTGTGTCTACCTTTTTCTGTGGAAAAACAGCAACAGCAGAAAGGGGACTGCTCCCAGTGTGCTTTCTCCACACACATCTCTCTGCCTGACACTTATGTTTTGGATTTAGTATGTGGGGACAGAAGATGGGCTTGTCCATTTCCTCTTTCCTGGCATCAGGGGGTGGCCACTCAGCTTTAGCCAGGTTGATGGGCTACTCCCAGGGACAAGTTTGTCACTGGGTAAAAGAATACAGTGAGATCTGATTCCATTCCCCAGGGCAAGTCAGTGGAGGAGTCCCTTTTGATTGGGTCACTTTCTCTTCCAGAGACCTGGACCCAGTGGGTTCCTTCTGGAGGCCTCCTTTGGCTGGAGGCTCCTTTCTGTCAGAGAGTACTGGGCAGACAGGTCTAGGCTGGTGCCCCTATGGCAGAACCAGCAGCCCTCCCCTGCGGCATCTCTGTGAACATGCATCTCTGTGAGGGTTCATGTTTCTTCCTATGTGAATATAAACAGTGGTCCTGAGGAGAGGGTGAGGCGGCACCTCCTGAAGTGTGAGCTGCATCGCTCAGACTCGTGCACCTGGGCGTGTGCCTCTGGGTGGGGTGAGAGGGGGCCCAGAGCC